ATGAAAAAAAGGTGAGAGCCAAACAGATAAATACACTTAAGCCCCACTACCCATTCTTCACTGGGAAAAGGACTGAAGGTGTGCGGCGATTAGAAAGACTTTCAGCAGCTTGAAGGAACTTAGGGAGGTTCCTGGGGCTGGGGAGAAAACGGCTGTGATGCTCAAATGGGCTCTGGGAGGATTTTTCCAAATGCCAATGGTTAAAAGTCTCGCTGCAAGCTCAGCTCAGGGAAAAAAAAACAACCAAAAACCAGCTAACATCAGCATAGCAGACTACAAATAAGATCCACATCTAAATCTATATTCCTAGGCTTTTATCTAGGTCTACAGGAGCTAGATAAACTTACATGTAGCTTACATATTCAGATTTATTGCTCAGCTAGCATGAGACCATATAGGATGTTACACAAATGTGCAAAGACAGAACCGAGGTAGTTTTGTCCTCATTATTGTGTATAGTTTTGGTTGACTTACTTTTAAAATTTATTTTAAAACATAAATTATCTCTAAAACATACCGATAAAACAAAGATATAGTAATCTGCAGTATAATGAAAACACTTTGCTTTTTTTCTTTCTTTTTTTTCTTTCTTTTTTTTTTTCTTTTTTTTTTTTCCTTTTAGAGATTTTACCACAAAATGACAATGGCTTTTTGGAACCAGAAGGATTGCACTTCTCTAGGGAGGAGGCAGCTTTCGTGGAAGCTTTTGCAGCGCACCCAGCCTGACCACAGCTCAGAGCCTGCACTGAGCCTTGGGCTCAGGCTCAAGCTTAGGCTCCCTCTTTCTCTCTCTCAGAAACCTTCAGTTGAGATTCAGTAACGCAGTGCATTCTATTTCCATCTCAGTCAAATCTTGTCTTTAAGGTTTCAACAGTTTGTATGTATAAATCCTTCGATCTAGAATTATGTAAGCCCAAACTCAGCACACCGTGCAAATAAAAGTCAGGTCATTGTAACACATGGCTGCATTTTTCACTAAGTAGGGTGATAATGTTCACCTTAATCATCAGAAACAGTTTTAGCAACAGTAAGCAATATAAGTTCTTCTTTTCTCTCTGTCTCTTGCCCCTTCAATCATCCTCGGTCCCTTCTATGCCCAGCACCAAGCCCTCTCCCTCTGCACTTTCATCCTCACTGCTCTTATCTCTACAGCCTGGTTTTCACTAAGGAAAGGGCATGTTATTAAGTTAGGCTGTAGTTTTCATAGGAATTGGCAGGTTTGTACATTATTTGTGCACTTTTTTTTAGCTATCGCTCTTGTGGGATTAATAATAGCACTCAGTGGACACTCTAAAAACAAAGAAATAATAACAGTCACTAATAAAGGTGAAGACCATTGATTCTGCAAACTGCTGCAACATTTTATTTTTGTGCTGAGGAAATTTGCTCCCATGGAACTGAATTAAGCCATTAATTTCTTACACACTGGCCGTGCCAAGAGCCATCAGACAGTAATCCTTTCCAGGACCCTCCAAACTATACTGGGATTCAGTTGCAATGGGTTGCTACACAATACCTTTCATGACCAGTTATTAGTAAGCTGGCGTATCAGTTCTAAAT